TGATGCCTTCTACTCTTTGTCAGTGAAACTCTGCTATCAATGTTTGGTTGCAAGATTGCATGTGCAGCAGGAGGCAAAACTCCTGACTTTAAATGAACGTTTCTTTTTTAACTTCATCTAATTTTGTTCACCTCTTGCTGATGAAGAAATGTGTGTGGTACAGGGAGCATAATAAACTGAATTTAAGAATGAACGCTCTCTGTGTAGGCTGATGTGATTTTAGTGATTAGCTGGATTCTAAACACGTACTGTTTAGTACATTTTAAGATTGTTGTGATGGGATTAAAATATAAGGAACTTTCAAAAAAGTTAATCCTATCTAAATACATACAAATTTTGACTAATGAATGCTATATTTAAAAGAAATACTCTCATGGTTACTGGTCCTGAAATTTTTTTATTGTCTTGTAAATCTTTTGGATTATAAATTATAACGTTGTAAATATTTTGGGTTGTGGTTATTGCAAGAGAATCAAATCCAACCAAAACCTGTTCAACTGATGTTAATATTTCTGAAATAAATATGCAAACTTGCATCATAAGTGACTCTTGCATTTGCAAAAAAACCTTGTAAAAAGCTTTTTTGCACTCGCCTAGAAATACTGCTTGTCAATATTGGCTGTAGTGTTCCATAATAACTTTCACTGAAATTACATGGAAATTAGCTATCTGTTTTAAGCAGATAAATAACTCTTTGTATATACTTTCTGGTTTTCCCCAGAAGAGTGTGGGCAGATATAAAAGAAAGGGAGAATTATAATGCTCCAGTCACTGCTGTGGCAAATGTAAACTGACACGTAGAATACAATTTGAAGCGGGGGAGGGGATTGACCTTGAAGGTTTAAGCTTGGCAGGTGGTGGGATGGGGGATTGGGTGAATATGCACATTGGTATGGTGCAGGTGGGCAAAAGGGATTTTTATCCTGCCTTTTTCAGGTAGTAATGTTAAAAGAAGGTAAGCTTCCTTGATGTTATCTTTGGAATAACTATTTTTATTTGTATCTAAATGACTTCAAGATTTTATTTAATATTGTATAAATAAGTCTCTTTTTTTTATTTTGTGCAGAATCAGATTCAGTACCTCAAGCAAGTCCAGCAGCCTAGTGTTGCCCAACTGCGATCAACAATGGTGGACCCAGCCATCAACTTGTTTTTCCTAAAAATGAAAGGTGAACTGGAACAGACTAAAGACAAACTGGAACAAGCCCAAAATGAACTGAGTGCCTGGAAATTTACGCCTGATAGGTAAACAAAACAAATACTCCCCAGTCAAGACTTCCCTGACAGTCCCACTACGAGAATGCTATGGTGGGACAGCCAAGTACTCGTTTCCACACCAAGACTCAGACGTTTTGAGGCAAAAGCCACATTCTTATACTGTCCAGCTTGTAATGCTTAATGTAAAACTTATCAGATGAACCTTGTGTTTCAGCTTTTTTCTCCCCCTTTGCTTCAGAGGCCTGACGGCGTCGGACTATTCTGAAGAAATGGCCATCTTCGAAAAAAAATCTTTTCTAGAACATTAGACATTTGCAAAATTGTTCTATTTGAAGAAAATAGAGGGAGAAACAGAAGTCTTAAGTCTGTGGCACACTGTGTCTACAGACAGTTTGGAGGAGAGAGAACCTAGAGATTATAAATCATGAATTGAACATGTAAAATTCCCGTAAAATGTAGAAGTGGAATATGCTTCGCTCTTAACCTTGAGCCTAGTGACTTAGAGACACTGTAAGTCAGTTTTGCCAATAAGACTGTGGACTTCCTGCTTGTTCACTGAACTGCTGGGTCAAAACTCAATGAGGTGAATTTTGCATTAAAGAGTTTACTTGCTAACCAGTTTTGAATAGCCATGAGAGTGCTATTTGCTATCACAACAGTGGTAGTGTACACATTTGACTGTTTAGCCTTTGGGCTCTCTAGCACTTGATGGAGCCTTAAGTCAATGTTGCTAAATAATGAACTGTTTTCTGGATGGTTGGTAATACTGTGGACGCCTCATAATTAGGACTGTACAAAAATGTACATTCTATCTAATCGCAGGTTTAAAATTGTCGGAAGCAATACATATTTGATCACAACTAGCATGTATAAGAAAAACTGGTTGTGATAAGTATTTCACTGCATGTTTTAATGCAGAAATGAGAATTTTTCGATCTTCTCTACTAAGAACTGACCTTAAATGCTCTATACAGAAGGCACACAATGGCACCTGTCTTCAGTGTTGGTGGGGTGTTTTTATTCCTTTGTACACCTGGTTTTTTTGTATTGCACTTCTATATAAAATGTGCCTTGAAATAGTTGTAATACCTAGTTCAAGGAACACTGCTGGTTATACTGTTGTATTGTGAAACTCCTGGGATGAACGAGAATTGAACAGGTTGTTATTTCTGCATTGTCTCGTTCTCTGAAAACAAAGTCAGTATATTAACAAACAAACAAAAAACTTAAATGCATGCATTTTCCTTGGTGGAATCAGTGAAGGAGCCTTTGCTACTCTATTGATGCCTCTGTTCTGTTGTCCCAAATTACTTGTAAGAGTAGCGATCCGGGACAGTTGGGAGCGCATGTCTGAGGTGTGTAAAGTGAAATGCAGATTTGGTATAGCATTTGTGTGTTTATTTTTTTCCTTAGCAAATTGAGTTCCACTTAGTAATCTGAGGTTTTGATTTTCAAAACAGTTGGGCAAAGTTTTATGACTCAGTCTGATCCTAGAAAATTCAGTCTTAAATTAAAAAAAAAGACATCCAGCTGTCACAGAAGGTGATGTATTCTAACTGTTTTGATGACTTTTAAGATGGCATTATTAAGATGGTATTTTTAACTCGGAATATCTTAACTGTTTGTGCTTCAGATGATATGGGATCAAAGAGTAGTGTACTTAACACAGGCTTATTTTTTTGCATGAGTAATGACTTAACAGCAAAAGAAAAACCAACAGAAAAACTTTACCTTTAAAAAAAGTGATACATCTGGAATGATTTTGCTATAGCAGTATCTAAGATTTTAATGATCTAGCATCAAAACGGAGGTAAGACTTGCATTAATAAATTGTTAACGTGTTACCAAGCCATTTGTAAAGCTCATAACATGCCGTGCAGATTGCTCGTTTAACTTGGAGTTCAGAAAATTATTCAATACAGTCAGATACAGGTTGGTTGTTTTCTGAAGTCAGCCTCTAAATGTGTGTGTACAACTGAGGAGAGACCAATAACTTACCGCTTTCTTTCAAGCAAAAGTATCACCAGACAATTTTGTTATTTCTGTAGCTGCACCATACCCTAATATGCATCATATAATTTTAAGTCAGTGGTATGAACATGCATAATTCATATATGCAGTAGCTGGAATACAGAAAATTAGAGTTACTTCCTGGTGAATAATTGAGGCTGTCTTCATTAACTGGGTTAAGATTTTATTGATTTTTATTTGTGGAAAGGTAAACCAACGGTGACTCATGTAGGATTTTTCATTCTCTTTGCATTCCCCCCAATTGCTTTAATTGTCCATCCTTGTATGCACCTACTCTTACTTCAAGGCATCCAACCTAGTTTTTGAAAGAGATGATGCTCCTATTCAGATCCCTAATTGGTGTTCTTAGGGTACTGTGTTAACTGCAACCCTAAGTGGTATTAGTTCTGGGCCTTAACCATAGATAAAGGGTGTACAGCATAATCATTGCTGGTGTCTGGAGGGAGAAATAAAAGGGCATGGAATCAAAAGGATGGCTATGCTAAGCCATTCCAACCATCATTAAACATAAAGTATACACTTGGATTAAAAATGAGAGATGTCCTTTGCAGTAAGCCTAGTACAACAAACACCAGCCTTCTGAAATTTAACCACTTATATTCTTACAGGTTCTGTTGCATATATGTTCAAGAGGATTTGTGAAAACAATGCCACACTTAGTTTTACTTAGTTTAATAGGAGTTACTTGAATAGTTACTGGTTTTTATATTCTTGCATGTGTTGTCTTTTTTGTAAATTGCAAGGGGAGGTTACTTGGTGCTGTACTAGTTCAGAACATCTGGAAAAACGTTGTTGGGAAGAAATAGCATTATAGGTAACTATGCAAATTTCTATACAGGTAATAAATACTTTACATTTTGGCAGGAGTTAATATGAAGAAATTAATGGGATTCTAAAATTGTCCCAATTCCAAGGTAACTGGTACTTGCTAATTCTACAGGTGACATTGTTTTGTGAAGAGAAAAGCATTAAATGACTTAAGGACCGTGAACTTCTTCAACCTGTAGTGATGATGAATACAGTAACAGGATTTTGCAAATGGCTAAAAAATCATTGCATGTCTGCCTAATAACTTGGGATATGTCACATTGGTTATCTCCAAAGTGGTCCTGCTTTACACAGAATGAACATCTCTAAGGAAACTTGCATCTTAAGTGTGCGACTTGGACTGTATTAGGTCAGCACAATTTAAACTTCAAGGACCTGGCATTGGACATCACATCAAGAAAGAAAACAGGTTGCTGCCTTTAGCAGAGTTTCAGGCTTCCAGGACTTTACACAGCCAGATTCCTTCTGGAGCAGCCCATCTGAAAGATTTGGGAGAGTCAGTTGGAAAATGTTAAATGGGGCAGAACTTACAAGTTGTCTAAGACTTGAATGCTTAAAAGGTAGTTCATAAGGAAATTACTATTTAAAATTCTTTTGGTTGGGTATTTTGGTTGCAGGAGAGAACCGTGGCTGTGAATTGTAGCAGAAATTTCCTGTTCTACTTTTCCAATCCTTAAAACTTCTTTCAATCTTTGTCACTTGTCTAAAAGTAAACAAACAAAAATTAAATGACCTTCTTGGTCTTGAAAAGTAATGCAAGTCCTGCCATTGAATTCACAATAAACCTGTTTTAAGTTTGGGTTGGTTTTTTTTGTCAGAGTTTACACTTCTGTAGAACAGAGGACCGCTTCATTAAGTTGCTGAGCCTATTAAAAGGAGAACTGTTTGTGGATACTATCCTGACTTTGGCAGACCAGGAGTCTTAAAGGACTTAAATTTTTCTCTTTTTATGGAGTCAGCTGTATTGCCTATATATTAATTTGCATACTACTTCCTATAATGCTTTACAATGCAATTTTTATCATGAAGATTAAAGATGTGTGATGTTACCCATTTAGTAAAGAACATCTTGTCAGTTCAAAATATTTTTTTTCCTGCCTGTTGCCAATTTCTCACAAAGTGGACATCCTAATGATCATTACTCATGATCTGAAATATGTCATTCTAAAGGAAGCAGATGAATAAGATACTCCTTCCTTAATTGCCTGCCAATTTTTAACTACATTTTATTTTCTCCTCACCCTGCAAGATGTCCTTAAGAAAACCTGACCATAGAACTCACAAAATGGACTGTGTATGTTACTGTCAAATACATAAACGGAGTTGAAAAATAGACATTTAATTTTTTAAACAAGAGTACCTGGACAGCATTCCAAAGAATGTCTAAGCCTCATAAAGAAAAATGGATGTCACTATGAAAAACGAACATGGGGTTTAATATTTTCCCCCAAGCAACTTGTTTGTCTTCTCTTCACCCAAATTTAATTATTTTTACTAGCACAATAAATGGAGAAGGTTTTTGTTTATAATTCAGTTTACACATCTATTTTTTTATGCAGCACTTGATCTTTTGAATTACAAGGCACATCTTTAATCAAATATTTAACTCCATTGAGAATTAGCACATGCAAGATTGTGCATACTGATAATCCAGATGTTGGTATCAAAAAAAGAACAATATGCTTATTCATATTTGCAGTAATAAAACTTGCCTTCCACTTTATGGGACAGCGACAGAAGATCAGCTGGCATTGGAACAGCACGTGGTAACTATAGGGAGACTTTCTGCTATGACAATTATGTTGAGGCATAATGTTCCTTGAATTGTGACATGCAGAAATTGCATCTCCTTTTTGTCTGTAATTGTGATTGAGGAAGATTACTGAAGGTTTTATATTCATTTTGTGATAGATGGCTCTTTCCTTTACAGCCAAACAGGCAAAAAGTTAATGGCGAAGTGTCGAATGCTTATCCAGGAGAATCAAGAGCTTGGAAGGCAGCTATCCCAAGGACGTATTGCACAGCTTGAGGCAGAGTTGGCTTTACAGAAGAAATATAGTGAGGAACTTAAAAGCAGTCAGGATGGTAAGGGATTTCTTTTAAGCAAATGGAAGTTGCCTTGCACTTCTGCTAGTTTAATTTCCTGATGATACACGTGCTGTAAAACCATCTTTGCCAGAATGAAAGGGCAATATAGAGTAAAATACGACAATTCTAAGTCTTCACTGGTAGTCTTAATTTAAGCAACAAACAAAAAAATGAACACCCAAATTTAATTTTGGGGGGCTGGGGGGATTTGCAGTGACAGTAAAGCAGCGTTTGAATTTGAAATTGCCAGATTTCATACTCTAGGTCTTGCTATTTAATAGGGAATGTTTAGACTGCACACATCGTTTCTGAATTGGTAAGACAAAAACTGTTGAAGTTGCATGAAGCTAAGCATGCATTGGGAACAGAATGCTTCTTGTTAACTCTGACTCATTTTGAATTTATTTTTAAAAAATCAAAAACTTTTTTAACAATGCCAAAGAATAATAAAAATACTGGTTTTTCTGCTTAGGTAACTCAGATAAACAAAAATACTTCATTATTGCATTTGCATTCCAAATTTTACAGCATTGTAAACCTAAATTGAAATTACCTATTGACTCTGACCTCTTGTATAATTTAAATGGAGGGGAAAATGCAAGTTTAAAATATCTTCAGTTGAGAGTTCTGCATAGAATCAGTGGGTTTTTGGTAGAATGTTACAGAGTAAGTTATCTGATTGTTACAGTAAGTCTTGGGACATGAGCTATTTAGACGCATAAACCTGGGTATGTTTTTGCTTTACAACTGAAGTCTGTAAGATAGCATAGACATTTGGCATTATTGAAGTCTGACATGCCCTGTATTTTTAAGGATAGTTCCTCCCCACCCCCAATAGGATCATATTTTTGAGAAAGTAGCAGTATAAAATATGTAACTAGCATCCTAAAGGTAAAATATTCTTTCTGTAATAACAAGTTGTTGGAATAGTTACCCTTTTGCTTCTTAACCATTTGGATAACACACTTAATCTAAATGTATCAAGTTCATAATTGAAGCAAGTATGGACATTCTTTAAAGATTTCTGCTCTTGAATGCAGTGAAGTAAGCTCCAGAACTGAGATGTGTTCTTAGCCCATACTGCTTCTTCCCCGTGTGAACAAAGACTATAATAATCCGGCAATAGCAGTTTTCCCAATGATTTTTTTCCACAGCAGCAAGAACACTGAGTTTTATACATTTTTACAATAATAAGCAGTCTGCATTTTATTTCCTCTGTCATATCAGTGTTGCAGTTGAATTGAAGACTAAGGGATTCAGTGTTGTTTCTACTGTTTTCAGGTCAAATTTCTTTTGCTCCAAAAAGCAATCTAATAGTAAAATCCTTTTTCTTGGTACGTAAGTAGTAAAGCACCCTTTGGAATTAGTTAACAGTTCTGTTGGCAAGAAAGCCTTTCTTTTACTGCCCCATTATGGGGGATTTAAGGGATTAAGAGCAGTAAGAGCTGAAATTTCTTTGAAATATGACTAAAATCTCATTCAACTGGTGTTTGTAATTGTTCAGATCTATTATATGCAGATGTGGTTCATGGTCACTTCTACAGTATATCTGCTAAGGTTTTACATTTGAGTAAAAGTAGACATGTGAGGCTCTAGTTGCAAAACGTTAATTGCTGGAATTGAGCTGTTTTCCCAATACCCTCCTTTCTTGTCCAGAAATTAATTTCTTCTCATACATTGAGTAGCAGTACAAAAAGCATGTAGATGATAGTTAAGCATTTCCTCCTTCAGAGGCAGAGTATCAAAACCAGTGCATATCTGATGGCTGACAAACAGCCTGTTGAAAAATTTCATGATAGAATATTGAGTTACAGGATTTTAATTTCTTTGTCTTGAGATTCAAACTGTTTATGGGCTATTAAGTATTTGCAACAAATGTGTTTTCTTTACGTAGAACTGAATGACTTCATCATCCAACTTGATGAGGAGGTAGAGGGTATGCAGAGTACCATTCTAGTTCTTCAGCAGCAATTGAAGGAGACTCGCCAGCAGTTGGCGCAGTACCAGCAGCAGCAGTCCCAGGCCTCCAACCCAGGCACCAGCAGGACTCCATCTTCTGAGCCTACAGACCAGGGAGAGGCTGTGGGCAAAGACTGCAGCCGTCTGGCAAACGGACCAAGCAACGGCAGCTCCTCCCATCAGCGGACGTCTGGGCCTGGATTTTATAGGGAGGGTAGCGGCACGGAAGATGACTTCCCAGCTTCTCCAGGGGATGGCAATAAGCTGTCCAACCACTCTGAAGATAGAACTGGTAGAGGAGGTGGTAGCTACATAAACCAACTCAGTACTGGGTATGAAAGCGTAGACTCTCCCACTGGCAGTGAAAACTCTCTCACTCACCACTCAAATGATACAGACTCCAATCATGATCCTCAAGAGGAGAAAACAGTGAGCATGAAAGGTAACAGAACTGTGGGTTCCCGTCATGTCCAGAATGGTTTGGACTCCAGTGTAAATGTGCAGGGTTCAGTTTTGTAACATTTTTCTGCAGCATTTTTATACAGTGTCATTTAAATTGGGAGAGGATACTGTCCAGAAGCCGTTTAAATTAGTGCATACTTGTCACAATTTTGCCTTTTTGTGGGTTTCTTTTTGCTTCAATACCTCTGCCACTTCGGAAATTTTAACAGTTAATTACGTTGAATGTTGCTAAAAGGACGTTTGTGTAGCTCAAGTTATTTTTATATGAGTTAATGTGAAGTTGAAATGGAAATGATTTCCATAAAGTATAACATAAATGATGTCTGTACAAATCTGTGTATATCTAGAACCTGTGCTGTGTAAGGGCATTCTTACTCATACTGTTATACTTACACCACCTTCAAGATTTGTCATAATAGCTGTGGGTTTATGATTGCCAAGTTTGCCCAGTACAGTAGTTTTATCACTAAAAGATGGACTCACTGAAGGAGTCCTGTAGTAGTTTCAGTGTTAATTACAGTTTTTCCCACCATACATCTGTGCATTTTCTCCTTAGGTGACCGAATGTTTATGAATTGTGTGCATAGTTACTCAGTTTTTAAGAACTGTTGTATCCTGTTTATGCATATTGCTCTGTGACTCCAATATTATCTTACCTGTACTGACCAAACCTAAATAAAAAACTTTTAATAATGTAATTTCCTCATTGTTCTGCATTGGCTTACATGGCTTATCTGTATGCAGTGTATTTATAGTACTTGCTTTTTTTTAGTTGAATTTGTTCCTGTGTCAATCATATCTGATACAGCTTATGCCAAATTCCTGATGTTACCGTACTCATTTCAGGCCAGCCTGTCCTGTGCTTGTTCCACAGGTTTTGTCCTTATTGGCAGGTGGGGGCGGGAAGTAGTTGTTAAAAGTAAGCCTTAGAGTTGGAACCTGGCTTTTGTAAAGATTAAAAAAAAAAAAAATCCACCAGGTAAATGAACAAATTAAACTACAAAACTTTAAGGAGTTAGTAATTCAGCCTCTTAACCCAAATATAACTCCTCTTGTTTCTGAATGCCTGCCTGAGGGAACTAACTTCTTAACAGGTGCAGGGAATGAAAAAACTACCTTTAACCATGCTTCTACTGTTCAGTAGCAATGAGTTAGGAATTTCTTGGAACCTGAATTTCTGTTGGCTATTTTTCTGTGTATTAGTTTAGTGATGGTAGCACGTAAGCAAGGAGATGAAAAAGCACTGGCTTTTCAGCACTGTTGAAAGGGAAAACTAAGGTGCTTAGTACTTACTTTTGGATTGACTTAAATCCAGTTTCAACACTTTTCAACCTGTGAATTTTGTAATTGCCAGATGACTAATTATCTCAATATGTAGCCACTGAAACAATAGTAAATAGCTTATAGCTTTGCAATTCACTGTGGAAACAGTGAGACTCTTGTTTGAAAGCAGTTATTTCTCCAAAGTTCTAGGACTTAATAGAATTTGTTTCAAATTTACACAGTTATAAATTCCTAGTAATCTAGAAGGGTTTCTGTGGTGCTATTTTTAAGTGGCATATTATATGAGAATTAACATCTGCAGTAGTATTGTCCAAGACAAATGGATGTAATTAAAATAGTACTAGCTGCTGTCATCTGTGTTGGAGACGCTAGTCCATGTGCCACTGCTACTTCAATTTCATAGGGTTCACTTAAATGTGTTAAAACTAGTTAGTAGTTGTCACTGGAAGTGTGAATTCTGTTGGTGATACCTTGTTGTTTTTTGAATGTTACTTTAGCTGTCATTGCCTGGAAACTAGCAGTTATTAGTTGAATGCATGAAAGGGACCTGACAAGTACCTATACAAAGAAGTACCAGCATCTGGCATCCAAAGTAATTTCTAGCTTACAAAAATCCCTGATGGTGATCTAGACCTGTAGTTGCTGGTGATACTATATTTAGTTTTAGTAATGTACTGCTCGATTATCTATAGTGTGTGTATATGTATATCCTGGATCCTGTACATGGTAGAATACAGTATTTACAAGAACCTTAAAATGCCAATAATAGATTATAACAGTGGCTTCATATGATGGTATAGATGGTAAAAAGCCTTGTGGGGGACATCTGTGGTTGTTGGTTCAAATCTCAGTCTGAAATATGAAAGCAACTCATGCCAAGAAAATGGTAGACATTTTCATTTAATACAAGGGATTGGAAGGATGTAAAATATCTTTGGAGTTACAGTAATTGTGGTTAACTGTGCTAAAGTTAAAAAAATAAAATGCATAGCTTTCAGGCGGTGACAGCTTGCTACTTAAATCTGTCAGTTACCATAGGAAATTCATGTCATAAAACTTCATATAAAGATGATTTTAATTTTCTTGAGTGTGTGGTACTTAATTTTTAAATAGTAAATTAAAGCTTAGCTAAAGCGAGAAAAAAATTGGAAGTATAAATTACATCCTCAGACTAGAAGTTAGCTGAACTTGTTTAAGGAATATAATTGTAAGGCAAGATCTTTCTCTGCTTTGAGGGTAGCTTCTGAGGGTAGCTTCTAAATAAGCAGTCCCGTTCCCCCCCCCCCCCCCTCAACA